CAAAAATGCATACAAACTAACAGGTTGGCAAATGCAGAGACTGGAAGCCTGGTTGAAATACAATGCGACACACAAGGCCATCCACTCTGCAAGCTAGTCTGCAGGATTTGTACCAATACAGAAGACATGAAGAACTGTTTTAGCTCCACGTTCTCTTGAGGAGCAAAAAATTCAGCGGTTTTACCCTTACATGGTTGCTAAGAGAAACTAGCTTCTGCTCTGCCCGCTAATATATACATACCCAGTGAGAGTTAACAAAGCTATTTCACATTTAGAAATGTAGCAAAATATGTTTAGTGAAGAAAATGTCCAATTTATATAACCAAAAATCTAGATGCCATGAACAGATGCAAGGAAACTTAATTGACAGGGGAAAATGTGTTAAACTCACCCACTTTTCAAATGTTAATGGACAAGTGGATACTACAGAAAATTTCTGAACAATGGGACAGACAAGGATATGCATGCATGCAGACTAGTTATAATTACATTCATAAAAAAAGACAGATACAGACAAATTCAGGAGCAAGGTGACAAATACAGACATAATTTTGACAGCTTGGTCTTAGAATTATGATATTCACTTTCCTGTGAAAAATAAATGGGGCGGCAGAAATTAAGGTAACTGTCTTTCTTAGCACATGCATAAATTTAAAAATAAAGTTAGGTTGAACAGCGTGAGAAAATTTTACAGTTTCACAATGGTAAAATTAAGAAATGAGTGGTACTATTTAATAATAATACTTTTAAGGATACTAGTTCTGGGGCCTGTACTAGTATCGGCCTTGTTCTCGGCCTTGCAATGTTCTCGGCCTTGCAATGAGGTTATCACTGCCATGCAACTCAGCTTCAGAGACAGGCAGCAAGAAAATCACTATGCAGCACACTCAAGCTAGGGAAAAGAGGAAGTGCATGGTAGGCATGAAAAATTTGCTGGAAAACAAGGCAGGATTTAAGCTGATAAGGTTGAGCTCTTAAATAAGTTAGACCCTGGGTAAGAAGAGGCCTTCAAGGACTAGGCTGACTTCTTCATAAACAATGGTACTGTATTTACCGGTAAGTTAAACAAGCATTGCCCAGATACCCAGAAACACAAATGGTGGTGGAATAGGAAGTGTCCAGAGACTCTGTAACATCATCCAGAGATGAAGAAGTAATGAAGACATCTTCAGGACAGTGCATTTTTGAATTAAACAAAATGGGCATTTCCAATTTTGCAGCTACTCTTACAGCAAGAAATATATTAAGGACAAGTGCATATGGAAAGCACCAGATTCCATATGCTTTAAAATGTGTCAGGGATGATACACACTCTGGTGTATCACATTTTACACAGGACAAAAATCCCTTCATGAACCCACCAATCAGCCTTCATTCTGAAACACATAGATTGGATTACCTCTATCTTTGCATTGACAGCTATGCATGACTGCAAGCAAAAAATAATCAAGCCTCATTTAAAGCAAAACAGAGACACATGATTTAATCCATGCTGCAGGAACAAATATGGACTCAGATTGTGTATTTGTTTCTGGTCCTACTTCTGGTCCCACCAATATATATCTTTTTTTTATTGGAACCAGGGAGAGGGCTTTCCTTGGCTACATGATAGATGCTTATAGAATTATGCATGGAATGGACAAATTGGAGATTTTTTTTTTCTTCCTGTCTCATAATACTTATTAACATCCAATGAAACTGAACGTGGAAAGATTTAGGACAGATAAAAGAAGGTACATCTACACACAGCACATAGTCAAACTCACTCCCCCAGGAAGCAATGATGGTGAACAACTTGGGTGGTTTTAAAAGAGGATTATTAGACAAATTCATGGAGGAGAGAGCTCTCAATGGCTACTAGCCATAATGGCTATGCTCCACCTCCACAGTTGGGAGGCAGCAATCCTTCTGAATACCAGTTGTTGGAATCCTGGTTTTTAACAGGCATCTGATTGGCCATTGTGAGAACAGGATACTGGACTAGTTGGGCCACTGGTCTGATCCAGCAGGCTATTCTTATGTTCTTAGAGATGGTGAAAACTGCAGTCAACCAACAATTGGAGGACACAGATTAGGTACCCCTGGCTTGAACATGACATGCAAATCAGCTCAGTGTGTTTTAACTTTTAACACTCCACTTGGAATGTTCTAACTAGATGAAACAAGTATGGAAAGAACAAACCTAATGACCAAATGCACACAAAAATGCAGTCAGGAATCACACCAAATAATTTGTAAGGGCAGCAAAAATCTGCACAAACATTCAGTTGCCAAATGTATATCAAGTGAATAATTGGGCATTTACAGTTTAGGAAAATCCAACTCTAGAATAGTAGACAAAGCCACCACAAAATGGTATAGCAATCAACTAGCAGAATGCCTATGATTTTGGAGTGGAAGGACTAAGGAACTCTATCCCCTCCCCATAGGAGAGAGGCCAGTCTCCACCATCATTCAGTAATATATCTAAGTGTTGCATTTTTATTGACTGATAGATTGAATTTATACCGTACCCTTTCTCCTGAAGGAGTCCAGGGCAGCAAATAGATCCACAATTTAAAAACAAAAACATTCCAAAACCGTTAAAACATTCAAAGAGCAATTTCATTCAAAAACATTATTCCATCCTGTGATCTCAGGGTTACCCGGAGCAGTATTCTTCAAGATAGCCACTCCACATATCTGAGAGAAAGTAAAAAAGTATGCAGTTTCAGACACTTTTAGAAATAGGAACCAATATCCCATTTTCCCTTGGGGTGGAGGAAGTGCTCTTTGCTCATTGCCTTATTTCCCTTCACTCCATCCCTTCCCCCCTCAAATCAGTTTTTCAAGCCATTCTGTGCCCTATCCTTTCTGTTCATCTACCCCAATACTACACCTTTCCCCTTGCCTTGAAACAGGTAGTGTGACCCTGGAGCAGGGGTCTGCAACCTTTAAGGCAAAAAGAGCCACTTGGACCCGTTTCCGAAGGGGGGAAAAACTGGGAGCTGCAAAACCCTTGCGACATTTAAAACAAATATAACACTGCATATATTGTTTCTTACCTTAATGTCCGATCTGACAGCGGGCGGGAAGGTGACGTCGGGACGGTGCGTGACTAACGCACGCACCGCCCCCATGAGACGTCACAGCCAGTACAGCGCCCGCCACAGTGGGGAGTGTCGGGGCGCACAATGCGCCTCCTCCCCTCGCTAGTATCCGCCCCGGAGCTGCGGCAAAGGTGTAAAAGAGCCACATGCGGCTCCGGAGCCGCGGGTTGCAGACCCCTGCCCTGGAGGAAGCAGAGGGACCGCTCTGTCTGACAGCCAACTTCAGTATGCTTCCACCCCATCGAGGGGCAAAGCAAACAGCAGCCATCATAGCAGTATAGTATACTGCAATGAAAACACATTACACAGAGGCATAGGATAGATAATGCCCTCTTTTCTTGTCCACCTTGACAGCCACTTCCCAATATCCTGTTTCTCTATTGTACTCAGAACATAGTAAGGAAATGAAACATTAGGAACTACATGAATGTTTTATGTAAGTGGCAAAAGTGAATAGTTCTAGAAGCATTTGAAGAAGAAAAAAGACCAAGCTATAGCAAACTGAAAGAAGTAAATTCCAGACCATGTAAAACTGTACAGAAAATGGTCTCCCAGCAACACTTCCCTCTTCTGCAGCAAGAGAAACTGTTCCAGTACTGTATGTTCCTGCAATGGAGCAGTACATGGAACAAGGAAGCAGCATATACATGCAGTATTTTCTCATATATTAGTATCCGAAGAGTAAGTTAATAAATTTATGGGAGAAAGTGCAGTACAGCAATTCCCACACAAGAAACCACATATATGAACCATGCAAGTATCTTTGTAGTTTAGCACTGAACCATACCCACATAACATGACTAAAGTATTGGTACAACCCATACTTTATTTTATTTTTTGTCTCGCCAGCAACTATTTCAGGAGAAGCGCAAACACCAGATTTTTTAAAGCATCTCCCTCATGTCCCTCTTTCCTCCATTTGTACTTCACTGACTACCTTTTCACTCATCTGCCTCTGCTCTAAGTTTACTGCGTTTATTTCTCCCCTACTGGCAAAATGCCTTTCGAAACACAACACCCCAACTACTTGTGGCGCACTACTCTGACTGAGCCAAGTGGCCAGGGGAGAGAGCTAAGAGGGCTGCCATTATAAGCCAGGGAGACGTTTCACAAGAGTCAGGGGGTCGTCATTTAAATCGCAGCACGTGGTCGATCTTCCAGGGATTCCGACCTCCTCATTTTCCTTCCACTTGGGGTCCATTAAACCGCCAGGAATACATCGTACATCCCGTCCCTCGTCGGAATCACTTTCCAGCGGGTCATCATCACGGCCCGGGGGATCAAATTTGCCGGCGAGGGAGTGGAAGTTGAGAGTAATATCTCAAAGGCAAAGCGGAGCTCCGTAACGGAGGCGAGAGACACAGACGTGTGGCGTCAGACCCTCAGCCTCCCGGAGGCGAGCCCCGCCCCCTGGGCCCGGGGATGGCGACGCCAGCGGCTTGCGCTGCCCCCAAGCCCCGCGGGCGATAAAGCGCGCCTGCGAAATTCTTCCCCCACCCCGGAATGTCTCGCCAGCAACTATTTCAGGAGAAGCGCAAACACCAGAAGAAGGGACAAGCGTCAACACCCGCCGCTGCCCGCCACCCAAGCGCCTGAGAGCCGCTTCTCCCTCCTTCTCAACCCCCCCGGGTTTGGGACAGTCTCCGGCTGGTCATGAGACGCTCCCGCCCCGCCACCCGCGGAAGGCAGGCAACCCGCGCAGCTGGCGGCCCGTCAGCGTCAAGGCAGCGGCCGTTGTGAGGCAGAGAAAAGGGCCAGACAGCGCAGCCTCCCCTCCCCACCCCCCCGCCGCCCAAACTCCCGTCTCGCCAGCGGGGAAGGGAAGCGAAAGTCGTTCGGGTCCTAACGAGGCCCAATTAAAAGAGGGAGAAGAGTCCTAATAAGGCGGAGAAATGGACTGAGCGGACTCACCGTCGGCTGCGCGCCTTCCCTTCCTTGCCCTTCCCGGGCTCCTCCTGGCGGCCGCCGCCCTCGCGCCTGCCCCGGGGGATCCGCCCGCGCCCCGCTCGGCTCTCTCCGCCTCAGGCCGGTTTCGCAAGATGGCGGCACTTCCGGGAAAGACCATCCCAGGGCAGGAGGCGCACCAACGAGATAAAGGCGCGCGAGAGAACGAGCGGACTCGTCCCCGCGCGCGCGCCCCTCCGTCCGCGAATGAGCACGCTCGCTGCTCTCCCCCGCCCATCCGCGCGACAGTTGTAGCTGCGTCTGGACGCGCGCGCTCGTCCGCGCCGCCGAGATGCCTGCGGCCCGGCCCCCTCTCCGCCGAGCGCAATGAGCTGCCCTACCGGCCCTCCCCGCCCCGAAGAGGTCGGCGGCCTGGCGATGGTGCTGAGCGCGCTGGGTCCCGGAGCCGCGCGGGTCCTGTTCTACCCGACCTTGCTGTACACGCTGGTGCGGGAGTGGCTGCCCGGCTCTCAGCGGCCCTGGTTTAGCCGCGTCGACCGCTCCGTGCTGCTGGGGGCGCTGCCTCTGCGGGGACGCAGCCGCCAGGTAACGGGAGGGCCGGGCCGGGCGGAGCAGGCGTCTCGCCCGCGGGTGCTCTTTCAGCTGCTGGGCGGGAGCTACGGCTCAGCGCCAGGCACTTCTCCCCAAGGCTGGCTCCGCGGGTCACTCGGCTGCGAAGCAGCGAGGTGCCTCGGAATAGCTCCCACGGCGCACGAGGTTTCTGCTGCTTTAGCTGCGTCCTTCCCTTTAGAAACTCAGGATGTAGCCCTGCGCCCGCTGCTGTGTTGAACTCGGCGCGTGCTTACTCCCGAGTAGGCACGTGCAGCGTTGCGCTGGACACGCTCGGTAGATCCTATGGGTCTTTACCTCTTTGATTTCTGCTGTTGAAAGATACCAAGGTATATGCCAGCAAAAGTTCGTAAGGTAGTGCTCAAGACCCCATCAACAAGAGCATAGCCGGTGTAGGATTGTCAACATGGAAGGAGATGGAGGCTGAAATCTGCCAGAAGCTCAAGGTTTGCAAGCCCATCCTGATTCGAACCTAGCAAACAGCTGGGGCTATTCTTTAAGGGGGCACGCCAGCTACAAGGTATCCTGGCTTCTGTTGTTTCATGTGAAGGGCTGAGTAGTGAGCCCTGGAAACGTTTCTGAGCAAGCCTTTCTCCAGCTTTGGTTCAACTCAAGCAGGGGCAGCTGCCCCTCTTGGGTCCAAGGCCCACTGCAGTGGAGCACTGAGCAGAAGGAATAAATTATCCCTTGCCACTAATGGTACAAATCAATTTGTAACCTGCAACGGTAGATTTATAAATCAGGTTTATAGACTGTTCTGTGGTGGTTCTGCTCCAGTTTGCATGATCTCAGAGAATGGCATTGAGGGACTTAGCTGGTGAAGAGCACCTAGTCAACTTTCCTGGAGTCTGGACAATGTAGTTTGGCCACTGTGATATATGCACTGGTAACCTCATGTTTAGACTACTATAATGCACTGTGAACTTTTCTGACAGCTGCTCTGGAAGCTGCAGCTGGTATAGAATGCTGAGGTCCAGGTGGCAAGTAGTGCCCCATATTGGATACACCTCATGCCAACTGTGAAGGGATCAACACTTACTGCCTGTTGGCCACCAAGCCAGTTTTTAGTTCTTTGATTGATTGATTGATTGATATAAAGCCCTAAACAGCCCTGAACCAGGCTACCTGATGGACCTCTGCTCCATTGCCGGGTAAAAGCATTAAGATCCCAGTTAGTCCTGCCACAACCTGATGATTGTTGGCTTGTGATGATGCAGCGATGGACTTTTTAACTGCTGCCACCAGTGCTGAGGCATGTATACCTTGCAGAAATACAAGAGGCCCCCATCTGTATTGACATTCTACTTGCTTTAGAAGATGCATCTGTTTTAATTGCTGTGCTGTTTGAATGGAATTGTTTGATTGCATATTTTAATCATCGTGGTTAAGAACCTCGGGTTAAGAACTTTGTTTCAGGATGTGAACAGAAATTGTGCGGTGGCGGCGCGGCAGCAGCAGGAGGCCCCATTAGCTAAAGTGGTGCTTCAGGTTAAGAACAGTTTCAGGTTAAGAACGGACCTCTGGAATGAATTAAGTACTTAACCCAAGGTACCACTGTATATAATAATAATAATAATAATAATAATAATAATAATAATAATAATAATAATAATAATAGACTGCTATTCATTGTATGGTAATCACACAGCAGTTTCCAGAATAAAATGTATAAAACATTATATAAAAGAAAGCTGAACAATAGTGAACAGAATAAAATATGCAAAAATTATAGCTAAAATGGCAGAACATATTGACAAAACTAAAGCATAAATTAAAATCAGAGCAACAATTTAGATTCCACCAAAAGTGGTTAAAAAAGGGAGTGAGTACCTGCTTCTATGGCATTCTGTCTGCAAGCTTCTCTTTATGGCACATATTGAGTGAGAACCATTAGGAGAGGATGGGCTAGATACTGAAATATATTGAGACCTGGACTTAGTAGTCTGTTCTTCCTGCAGTTGGTAGAGGAGCAGAATGTCCGAGGAGTGGTCACCATGAACGAAGAGTATGAGACTCGCTTCCTGTGTTATTCCTCTGAGGTGAGTCCCCCCACAAACTCCATTGTGTCCAAGAAAAGAGGGGATCCAACTGACAAGCTCCCTCAGAAGGGAATATTTAAACATCAGTATAGAATGCTGTCTGAGGGGGATATAGGACAGCCCAAAATCTTACTGAATCAGAACTGCATGTTATGCTACCATATCTGTGCATGTTTACATAGTTGTTGGCACCCGTCTGTCTTGAGAGACAATGGAGTATGCCTCTGGGGGTGAAGTCAAACCGCTGCATCAGCACCAAACTGGCCTCCCATGGTGCGCAAGCCTCAGGCCATGTTTTCACTGAAACGTCTTGATTTGGGCTGCAATTATGTGCATGTTTACTTGGTGGAAAGGCATGTTGAACATAATTGTTCATACTTCTGAATAAATGCAGAGGTCAGTGGGAATTGTACTCAGATAAATTTCCCCCTTTCCCCACTTAGTTACCCTCACTGTACTGCTACCTAATTTTACCATTTTGTCTCCCGCATTATTTTCTTAGTCCTGTTTTTGCAGTCTTCATTTCAGCTTTCCTCTATAACTTTTAACAGTGCAATTGTACGTGTGTCTACTCCAAGTCTCATGGAGTTCAGTAGGGTTCAGAAGATAAATGCAGCCCAAATTAGCAACTTTTTCTTGTGGCATCTTTCCCTTGACTTTCATTGTGCCCTATGAAAAGGTGACAGTGGTCATTGCCTCTCTTTTCCAAATGGATGATTCTGTGTTTTCTGGGTTAATTGCAGGAATGGGCAGAAATGGGTGTAGAACAGTTGCGCCTTAGTACTGTTGATTTGACTGGCGTCCCATCATTGGAAAACCTGCATAAAGGTGTTGAGTTTGTGATGAAGCATCGTGCATCAGGGAACTCAGTATATGTGCACTGCAAAGCTGGCCGCTTTCGCAGTGCCACTATGGTTGCTGCATATTTAATTCAGGTAAGAAAGCCTCCAATACACTGAGAAAGTGGTAATGGATCAATTGTACACAAACTGCTTCTGTTGAACAAGAATAAGAGAAGCGGAACTCTTCCTAGGACTGCTACTCTGCTTCCAACGTGGTCTTAATTTATTGGCTTTAATTAGGTTATAGCTCTTCATTTAGTACTCATTGGGAGAGAAAATGAGTATGACTGTCAGCTTCCCTGTGACTGGGATGGACTTGGGAGTAATTTCTACTTCTGTATTAAAGTTGGCAGTATGAATGAAAAATGCTTGCACTTGCAAGCCCCTTGCTGCCTGGAAAGTGGGGAGAAAATGTGTAGGATATTAGATAGACGACTATTAGTGCATTTTTTCCTTACCAGTTGTACATCATTTAGTTTTGAAAATAAGATCTTTGTCTAGACTTGTATACATTCATCATGCTGGGATACTTGGATAGTGTTAGAGCATATAGCCCAAATATAATCAATTATGCTTTGAGATTGAATGGAAAGCAATGCAGAAGCCATTCTTCCTCCAGCAGGAGCAAAAAAGAGATAGTTAAGTATAACAGTTGTTGAGTAATCTGCTAGGATCAGACAAGGCAGATTTTAGCCAACAGACTCACAAATGACAACAAATATTTGGGATTCTTTTAAATGTGAGGGCATTGTTTCTGAACTTCCCTTTCTCACTACAGTGGTGTCCCACAAGACGAATGCCTCGCAAGACGAAAAACTCGCTAGATGAAAGGGTTTTCCATTTTTTGAGTCATTCCGCAAGACAAATTTCCCTATGGGCTTGCTTCGCAAGTTGCAAGTTTGTTTCCTTTTTCTTAAAGCCGCTAAGCCGTTAATAGCTGCTAAGCCACTAAGCTGCTAATAGCCGTGCTTCGCAAGACGAAAAAACCGCAAGACGAAGAGACTCGCGGAATGGATTAATTTTGTCTTGCGAGGCACCACTGTATCTGTTTTTCCATTCCACTGCTTAAGCTAGTTAGTTCCCAGCTTAGATAGTTTTTCATTTGGATTTTCTGCCTTTGCAGCTCCACCACTGTACCCCTCAACAGGCAATAGCCACAATTCTTAAGATACGTCCTCATATAATCATACGTGAAAAGCAAATGAAGTTGCTGGAGGACTTTCATACGTGTGTAACTGCTGGAACTCCTGCACAGCAAGAGCCACCAAAGATTCAGCAAGGAAAGAACAAGCCAACACACAACGTGCAGAACCGTCCCCTGAAAACATCTGGTTCCTAACATATTGCTTAGGGGTAGACTGTTGTCTCAGCTACCACAAAGTTTCTTGAAGCATGAGAGCAAAGGAGATCTGGTAGCTTCCAGCTTTATCACTGCTAGTTGAACATGGTTTGCCTCTACTGCTGGTCTCTATTATTACTTATCTCAGTGCACCAGCATGGGACCACTGCCAGCGCTGCTCCCTCTCAAATACAAGCAATTATAAACAAGTTGTGTTGTTCCGGAAGGCCTTTATTGAGACTTGCACCCCAAGGATCTTACAGTATCAACAAATAGGTTTGACATGATTCTCCTCTTTTAACATGGTCTTTCCCCCCCGTATGTCCCAGCATGAGCCCTCTAAATGAGGGCAAGGGTCCAAGCTTTCCATTTTTTGCCAGGTAGTAACACAGTCGGGGATAGCTGCCTCCTTTATTCCTAGTTCAATCATATCCAATGCATTGCTAATGTTACTTTCAGTACCTCTTGCTAGATTTGTCCTTCGTAGCCCTGATAAAGGAGGGAGCCTTCACTTTTATCTGCTAGCTGCAGCTCTAGGGAATGTTTTGTACCTTGACAGATTGCTGCACTAGATAGCCTGCAACATAAGACAGTATAAATACTTCATCTATTGTTGGTAAAGGGTTTAGGCCCAAGAAGCCTCTTAGCTGTGGGGTTCTGAGACATAACAAGCTGACCAGCAGGGGACCACAGTGACAGCAGTAATCCAGACAGAATGCGGATGCCGCCTATGTGTGGCTACAATGCTGCTGCTTGTGAGCAGGAGTTGGAAGGTGGGGCAGGGAACTCTCTAAAGTATTGTGATCTTTCTCAAGGAGCTGGAGCTATGGGGTCTATACATGTCTGAGCTGTTTAAAGGAATGTCTTCGTTGTTCTGGCACTGCACCTTTCTTCCTTCATGCCAACACAAACTGCAAATTGGTGAGTAGCACCTTGAGGCCACTGGTGACAGTCACCACAGAAGTGGCTGGATTGAGTTTGAAGGTGTTGGCATCTCCCTTTTTGTAACGATCCCGGAAGATGTAGATGTTGCCATTACAACTAGCAATTTTCCAAAGAGATGGTACTGAGCTCCAGGCATCTGGCAAGCAGAGCCGCGTGAAGCTATCCAACAGAGGGTTATAGCACAGCAGCGAATCCCCCTCTGCTACAATGAACACCAGGTCCTTGTGCACAGCAGCATGCATGCGGCCTGCAAAGGGTAACACGTAAGGCTTTACATGACACTTCTCTGTATTGGTATCGTAACACTGGATAAGCCGAGAGGGCTTGGTAAAGAAATCAAGGTCATTCTCCTCCCCGCCTAACAAATAAATGACACCATTGAGATTTACACCTGTAGCCCCAGACACTGCAACTTCCAGCTGGCTAGTCTCTGTCCATACATTGTCTCTTACTCTGTAGTATATGATGGCATTTGAGAGGATGTCCTGCAGTGTCTTGCCCCCCAGTGAATAGATCGCATCCTTGCTGGGCACAGAAACCAGAGTGTGTTGTAGCCTGTCGCGGGGCAGGGGGGCACACCATTCCCAGTCTATCGTGGTGTTGTTGCATTTCCACATGCGCCGTGGAATGGACCCTCCAACAACATAGAGGTCACTACCATGCTTGCAAGCTGCAGTGATTTGGTGACACAAACTGTTCTGACCACTAACACTGATGGAGTCGTCATCTGCACAATGCAGTGAGACAGCAAGGGAATGTGTACGGGATGACTCCTTTCCAATCAGGTAGATATGAACGTTCTCTCCAATTTCCTAAACAATAAAACAAAATTTCATTAAAGTTGTGCATAGGTATGCATGCAGAAATTCAGTCAAGAGGAGGCCAATGATAAGTGCAAAGAAATACCTACAGCAAATTAGCTTGGGGTTTCACAGCTCAAATTACTAGTAACCTATTCCACAATTACCACAATGTATTAGGCCACTGATAGTTGACATGCTGGACTGAAGTCTTTTGTGACTCTTACTTTTTCATTTCATTTTATAACCATAATGTATATAGCTTTCCAGGCCAATGCTTAGCAAGCAGAAAGCCTCTGGTTCAATCCCTAACATCCCCAAGTAGAGCTGGAAAAGACTTTTGCCTGAAATTTTTGAGACTTGCTGTCAATCATTACAGACAACTTCCTATATTACAAGCAAGATGAAAACTAGATAAACAGTTAAGAAACGCAGGTTCAGTTACTGAATTATGTAGCTAGCAAGTTTAAACTAGCATTCAATGATATTTCCAGCAGCTGAGAAGGGAATCCATATATAGGTAATTTATTTGTGTCCTTAGCCAACTTCCAAGGTGAGCAGGTTATAAACATTTCCACCCACAACCATGATCTAAAGGGTTATTTGAAGGGTGTGTATAGAGGGGGTGAAATTGTTGTTTGTGTCTCCCTTCTGGGTCAGCATGGCTTGGTTTTCCAATCTGATGCGACTGGGATCCTTTTGGTAGAGAGAAGAGAGATCCCAGGGACACTTTCTCCACCCAGACCTTGTACCTTCCTGTTTAACAACTGAAAGAGGAGGGGTGTAGAACATAAAGGCTCTGATTACAGAGCAGTCATTACCTTTCTAAACTAATATAAAACTCGTGCACATTGCACCTATGAGAAAATCTGGAAGGCCTTTGTGAGGTGGTGCAGGAAAAGATGAGGACACATTGCATGCAAACATCAAAGTGGGTGTTCACTTTCCTTCAGGATGGTCTGGTTTGGGGCTTGACACCTAATACACCAAAAAGGCGAGTGGCAGCTCTCTCTCCTGTCTCAGGGATGTAAGGGTTGCATATCCTCACATTCTTTTATTATAAGGAGTTACTTGAAACTTCCCCTGGTATATCGTTTTTCTACCTGGGACCTAAACAAGGCCCTCGCAAAATCACATTTCAAGTTTTATAACCATAGCCTTAAAAGTGTCTGAGCCATAAGGTGCTTTTCTTGGTAGTTAATTGCCTCTGCTGTAAGGATTTCAGAGCAGAGAGCCCTGTCATCTTGGAAAGAACTCTGTATCTTCCACTCAGATTCAATGGCCTTCACCCTACATTCATTCCTAAAAGGAATTCTATTTTTCACAGGGCTCAGGAAGTTAATTGCCATCATTTTTGGCCAGGTCCTAAGGAAAAGTAGTGTCACTAGATGTTCATAGGCTGGTGTGAATTTACCTAGGATGAGGAAAGGAGTTGAGACAGTCTGATTCTGTTTTAGCCAAGCACTTTGCAAGAAAAAATGTCTCCTCAACTTTGTTGTGATGGATATGGACGTGCATAGCTAAGTGCTATGTAGCTTCTGGATCACACTACCAGGAGTGCTTTGACTGCTGCCTTTAGCACTAATGCCCCTTGAGTTGACATCTGCAGAGCAGCAATGACCACCTGTTTTCACATTATTGAAGCGCTACATGAGGATTACGTTTAATTCTGCTGTGTTGTCTTTTGGCAGGAAGGTGCTTTGGCAAGTGGTGCCAAGGTAGGAGGTCCCTGCAGTGGCCTCCTGGCTACTTCTGTTTTATATCCCAACCACAGATCCCATCCTCCACTGCAGGAAAACCGAACACTGGACTTACAGTGATAAGTTCATTTTCTGAACCACCATAGTAGTGTATCCATGGTTGGGTGAAATGAGGTTATGATAGTGCAGTTGTTAACTTTCTGCAATTCTAATCTTCTGTTTCATGGGGTATTTTGTTTTCCTTCTTGGGTTTGCCATGCTTTTGTTTTTTTGGTTACAGCTAGCTGTTGTACCTTCTGGAACTGAAAGGGCAGGGCTGATTCTGCCTAGTGGATCGAGTAGGAGAAGCAACCCACCAGTGGATCCTCCTCCACCCCCTGTTGAAAATGAACTTACAATTCTATTATGACATCAGACTAATTGCCACTGCTTACATCACTCTAGTGTCAAGAGCAGCCCATGTTTCTAACTATGGAAACCTTTCTACATTGATTACAGTTAAGGGAGGCAGGCTGAAACACTGAGTAGACTGCTTTGTCATGTACCTTTAAACTTGATCGCAGTATCTCTGAGAAACCTGCACGCTCTTCTTTATTGAAGCCAATCCAGGTTTCTATGGCAGCTGCTGGATTCTGTGAACATGGAACCCCATCTGTATGGTTGCAGATTAAAAAAAAATGTTTAAAGTATACAATTTTCATGGCATGGGCATAGCAAGTACAGTATTCCCTTTCCCCCCAACACATACCAGGTTTAGCTGGTATAAACAAGAGCAGGAGCCATTGCATGTTAGCATTCCTATTCTACAGAAGCAGCAAAAATATTTCCTGCCCAAGGCTATCGACTTAATGAATTTGTTATCTGGTAACCATAGCCTCAAGATTATTAACAGGACCAGACTACATTCTCTGCTTGCCACAGTTAAACAGTTAGGCCTTCATTTTGTCCTGCTTAATTTTTGATTTATTTTTTAAAAAATATTTTGTCATATGTCTCACAAAGAACGACATTTAAGAAGTGATGCTGCAACAGACATGAATTTTGTTGTCATTTTAGAAAAGCTATTCACCAGAACATTTAGTATATTTTTTGGTGACAGTATTGCGTACAAAGAAACTTTTAACCACGTCACAAATCCTGACATGTTTTAAGTTACTGCATTGCATTGCATTGGAAATAATTTTAAATATTCCGTGCTTTCAGTACAATGATGTAAGTCCAGTCAAATACAGTTCCATTGCCTGATTCAATTAAGTACTCCGCTTCCTGCTCTTCAGGATAGCAGGCCTTTGCTTCTGTGGGAAAGCTGGTTCTTGGTTAATCCCATTACTAGTAATAAGATCAGTGGCTGTAGAAACCAGCAGAAGTTAATAGGGATTTCAGTTGAAAAAGTGGGTCAGTAGACCAAACAACAGATAAATCTTAAACTTTATTCAGTATTAATGCTGGCCATTAAGCTTGCTTTTTTCTGAGTTTCCTCTAGCTCTGAGTTCTGGCATTAGCTGTTGCTTAAAGAGAAACTACATACATCATGCGCCATCCTGGGCTTTTTTGGGAGGAAGGATGGGATATAAATTGAATAAATAAATATTTAAGACTAAGCAATGTATTGTCTCAGTTTAAATTTTTAATAAACTTTGTAATATAACTATCATGTTACAAATCATAACTAATTATGACCCTTGTAACTGAGTATTAAAAACTACCTGGAGTACATAGCTGCATAGAATTTTTGAGTTGTGTGTCGAGGTCTTCAGTCTCTAAATCAATTTCAATCTAGTACATAATTATTCAGGAAGTAATGTCCAATCCCTTTCTAGGTTCTTCAGCACACTGTTCCTCCACCCTCTGACGTAACAAATTCCAAATAAAGTAAACCCAAACAAACTGCAAAAGTAGATATGCAGGTAGAATGCCAGCAGAGGTGTGGGGGGGTTGCTTTCCAGTGTATTACACAATTTGTCACGTTCACCATCTATGTCATGGGTAGGCAAACTAAGGCCTGGGGGCCGGATCTGGCCCAATCACCTTCTAAATCCAGCCCACAGACAGTCCAGGAATCAGCGTGTTTTTACATGAGTAGAACGTGTCCTTTTATTTAAAATGCATTTATGTGTTATTTGTGGGGCATAGGAATTGGTTCATTCCCCCCCACAAAAAATATAGTCCAGCCCCCCACAAGGTCTGAGGGGCAGCGGACCGGCCCCCTGCTGAAAAAGTCTGCTGACCCCTGTATGTGGTGTAAAAAAATGGGTTTGTCCTTGATGCAGTGAGCTCTCAGGGAACAGATTCACTCCCTTGAGGCCAAAGTGGCTGACCAAGAGAGTCTGAGAAAGGAAGAGAGTTTGGTGGACAAGGCCTTCAGGAAGCGTGATAGCTCGTCACGCTCCAAGGATGACCATTCCTTTGCTGTCATGGAAAGGAGGATGCTACTCCTTGGGAGTTGTTTAAAATCACAATATTAGATGCTCAGATTAAGAAAGGTCCCACCAGAGCCAAGAGGTTGCCCACTTGGTTAACACGCAAGTGTTATAAAATGGAAGCCTTGTTCAAATTAGCAGAGCAAAAGGGGAACACAAACTTCAGCAAAAGAAATGCAAGTGGACGAAAAGTGATGCAAAAAAAGAAATTGAGGAGCACATTGCTAAAAACAAAGACCAACAGCAAGAAGTTCTGTAACTACATTAATATCAGAAAACCAGATAGGAGGTGGCTGGACCTTTAGATGATGAAGAGAGCCAGAAGTGGTTGCCATAGGAAACCGGACATTTATCCTAACTATTGGTGGATCTGGGGATTTCCCTTTCAATGCTAATTTTACCAGAGCTGCAGTCAACAAATTTCAGATTTATTCAATTCCTCACCAAAGATATACTGACATATGATTTGTCTTCTTGCATGACCACCCAGAGCTGCATACAATTCGCCCTTCCCTCAGCCAAATGTATTAGGTGATGTTGGCTCCCCCTGACATGTTTCCACAGGCCTGGCTAAACATATGGGGCAGGATGCGAGTAACTTGTTTTGTCAGTGTGAGGAATTCCACTTGTGCAATGGAACTTCCACTGTGTGCCCCCTAAATCCGTTCTGGGTTTTTCTCTAGCCCTCTGCAGCTGATTTGGGGAGGGTGCAGGGTGCGCATGGGGGAGAGGAGAATTCTGTTGCACAAGCAGAAATTCTTGCGCTGACAGAACAAGTTCACTGCATTCTGTCCACAAATGCTTCCTATAGAACAATTTTGCGATAGTAAAAATAAAGAGCAGAAGAAAAGGGATACACCCTTACTACATAAGAGCTGTGTATTAGATGCATGAAGTGAAATATTTTTATAACATTAGTAACAAAAAGGGTATTTGTGGTTATCAGGGTTGAACTATGTTAAACTCAAATGTGAAACACATTAAACTTAAGAATTTGAGATTTAACAGTATATAACATTACTGAAGAACGCATGGCTACTGTAAAATCTATCTCCAGAAGGAGCTATTTTATTTTGACAAAATGTAATATATTGTTTGCCTGTAACAAAACCTCTTTAGCAGCTAGAAAACAAAACACTCTGAACTACATTTTACAGCTTATCAAAACATACTCCTAGGTAACATGAATCAAGATGTAGGTAGTTCTTTCAACAGCAAGCAAAATGGATTTTTGCTATTCCTAGAGATAGCGGACTAAAAAAAGAGCTCCCTCGAGAGGCTAACAGAGCAGAGCTCTAAAGGTCCGTTTCATGTTCCCCACAGCAGAAAAGCACACAACCACCAAACAGAGCTGCTAGGTCTTAATCCAGAGATTGAGGGGATGGGGTAATTAGAGCTGTGGGTTATAAACAGCTTTCATAACCTTGCTGCTGTGGGGTTTCTGAAGGTGTAAATATGATAGGCAAGACATAGCAAGCAATCTTGCATTCTAGGCCTAGTGGCTTCACAGCAAGATGCTTGCTTGGCATTGGTGATTATGGGTTTGCCCTGCTTGAATGAACAGAAGTCAATGTCTAGAGATCTGCTAACACCCATAGGCAGATAACCCATAAACTACAACAAGGCCCAACAAAAAGCAATAAAGCAATTAAACAGCAATAAAATATATATGAGACAGAAAGATTACATACCAGTAGTATAGTAGTATAGTCCAGCTACTAAAAGCCAAAAGCCCTTTTAAATGGAAAGAGCTTTGCACTGCAGCAGATGGTCAAGGAGAGGGCAGTTATCAACATCCAGGGAGTTCCAACAAAAAACCTTCCCCTTCATTCCAACCAAATGAATGTAGAACCAACAAAAGGCCTTTGCAGAGCATTTGAATGCATGGGTAAGCTAATACAGGAGAAATTTATCCTGTCCCCAAACCATATAGGGTTTTAAGATCGTAACTAGTGGTTCTACTTTGGTGGATACTGCCCCCTAGTTCTAGGTTGGATATACTACTGGCTATTACAGTGGTACCTCGAGTTACATACCCTTCAGGTTACAGACTCCGCTAACCCAGAAATAGTACCTCAGGTTAAGAACTTTGCTTCAGGATGAGAACAGAAATCGTGCTCCGACGGCGCGGCAGCAGCAGGAGGCGCCATTAGCTAAAGTGGTGCTTCAGGTTAAGAACAGTTTCAGGTTAAGAATGGACCTCCGGAATGAATTAAGTACTTAACCCGAGGTACCACTGTATTTAGTTGAAGCTTCAATTTACCGTACTAGCTGCCATCCAGCCCATTTCTATTAATGATTTCTATTTCTATTAAAACTGCTAGTTTCCCTGGAATGTGATGAATGAGTAGGATGTAATCTGCACACTGATTGCATAGACCTCCAAATCTCTATATGACCACTTCTAGTGGTTTCATGTAGATACTAAACAACAAAGGTATAGAAATGTGTAAAACAAATTACAATTGGGAAAGGGGGCGGGGAACAGAACAGAGCCCAGTGGAACTTCATAAGCAAAAGAGATGAGAAGGAGGCCCCCAGTACCACCTTAAAGAACTGTTACTCCAGGAAAGACTAGAATCTGTTTAAAAAGTGCTTCCAAGCCTCATCTTCACTAAATAACCTGGAATACCACAAGTTATTGTACCAAAAGCCTTTGAGAGGTGCAACAGATCCAACAGGAAGGTGCTCCTCCTGTCCACTTTAGAGCCATGTACCAGGGCAATCAAAGGCATCTGACTCAAAACTAGGTCTGAAACTGAAATGCCGTGGTACTAATCCATATCTCTCAGAAAGGCCTTAGTAACCACAGGTCTCAGTAACCATTCTACCTACCTGAGACAATATCTGTCAGGAGACGGAGAGGAAGGTGCAGAAACTCCTCAGTTTCTTGAAGTTGTGATAAGTATGACTTGGCACAGTGCTTGGCAGCCGTATAGAGCTCCACATCACTGTGCTGATCAGCCAACCACATAATTTGCAAACAGTTTTTCACTTGCACTGTTCGAGCCAAGAAACGGGAGCATTCCTCAAAGAGGGCGGTTAGTTGGTACATATCTGCTACTTCGTAAGTCTCCTGCAAATCTTCTGCCCTCAACTTTACAGTTCCATAATAAATGTAGTCCACAAGGAGCTGAAAGACACTCTCACTAACATCTTGTAACTCAATCACCCGGTTATGTGCCTCCTTCAGATTGGAAGTGAACATAGAACGAAAGAAGCAGCTCTGAGCTGAGAGAACTAGCCGGTGCAGTTGGAATTCTTTGCCTTCTACAGAGATGGTGACATCTGCAAAGAGCTCATCCTCTAAGCACAACTTCATAATTCCTTGGGCCACACGGCCTGAATGAGAACGGTCAGTGAAAGTGTAATTTACAAAGTAGTTCTCAGTTAAGGAATTTCCAGTTTCCTCTGTTGAGGAACCTCCAGTCTCCTCCAGTGAGTCCATGTTGCCGCTTAGATCTGACCTCCAGTAATCTGAAATACAACAGACATTGGAGATTCTTTTATCACAGACTTGTGCTGTACTGTATCTCAACTAAAGCAAACAAATAAAAAGAAAAAGAAAAGAAAAACAAATGCTACAGATAAGGAACACATGTCCTATCATGTAGAAATAGCAGCCAAAAGATTGTGTTACTTCTTTGTGTACCAGTGTTTTGTATCCAAGTAACACCATAACAGGATCAAGTCATTTATGTAGTATGTGACATAGTGCACCTTATTTACAAGAACTCAAAAGTTAGACCAATCCTTAAATGGTGGGTAATCACAGTTTACAAGACTTTGTAGAGTATGAGGAACATACTGGGAATACACCCCAGTATGAGTCAATGGAACTTGGCTAACCTGAAGAGAAGTACTCTTAACAAGGGTTCCTTTTCCCATGAACTGCAGGAAGTTTATGTTGTTTTAAAAACTATCCCCAAAATATTGTACAGATATCACCAGAACACTAAAAAGCTCAGAAGCCTTTTGTGCTCTGCTTACATGGTGAGCGCATTACAACTGCAATATATGAAGAATGACAAATGTGCATTTTGAAAGACGTATACAAGTTGTACACCGACATCGGGAAGTTTGTGATGGGTTGGGTTTGACTGCCGTGCATACACCATCTTTAAAAAGGTACGTTTGGTTTCTATGGTGCACGAAGAGGCCCTAAAGACCACCGAGGCTGATGGAAGGGGAAAGCTGACCATTGGGCAGATCAAAAGCAAGGCAGTGCAATTCTTCGTGAGCCTACTTAGAAGTGAGGCTACTCCCTAGAGTACAATGAGACCTAGACCAAGCAATGTACTCTATGCAGCCCAGTCTAAAATTGCCTGCGGTTGTTTCGGCATCTGCTTTAAAGCAGCTAGGGCTCAATGAGCTGCCAGGGACGGTATCAGGAAACAGATCTCTCGATGCTTTTGCTCACTGAGCGGAGGCGCCCCGTCCCAACATCGTGACGAACATAACTTGAACGGAGATCCCGGGCGATCCTGCACCGAGTGCGGCGGCGCCGAGCTCCCGAGCGAGCCCAGCCCTTCACGGGGCCGGGGCGTGAAGGGCCTCTCGCTCCCGAGCCGGGCCCTGAGGCGCCTCGTTGGAAGGCGGCTCCGGCGCCGCCCCCTCCCGGCGTCCGGGTGCGCCGCCCCACCCCCGGGCGGACGGCAACCGAACCTTCCCGCCCCCGCAACGGGCAGGGCTGAGCCCCGAGGAGAGAAGCGCCCCGGCCTCGGCGGGCGGCAGCTCTTACTTGAGGCGCCTCCCTTCATTCCGCCGGCTCGGAACTTCGCACCGGGAATGGCTCAGGGGGACGCCAGAAGGGGCTGCACTTCCCGACGCCGCTCTTTTAAGCGCTCCCGGAAGCTGGCCGATCACCCGATCCGCCCGCGCGCGCCTCTGACTTCCGGATCATTTCGTCCCGCCCCGCTCGCGCGGATTGGTTTTCCGGTGGTGGAAGCTTGCGCGAGCGGGACGCAGCGCTTTCTGCTACGTCGGACCAATAGGAGAGAGCGCTCGATGGCGCGCGTGCGCCTTACGAGTTCGCTCGGTGTCCTTGTGAGGCTCCGGCTGCGGACCCTGAGCAGGCAAAGATGTTAGCGGCCGCGCTGGGGCTGGCTCGGGCCGGCCTGAGAGGTGAGCCTGCGACTTGGCGGGGTCTGTTGGGAGGAGGAGACTGAGGGCTTCCCGTCTGGAGGGGCTGTGGCCGTTGCTGGTGAGGGGACGCTGGGGTGTTTGTCTGCAGAGGGCATAGCCTCCTTTCCTCCCTCCTTCCTAAAGGATCCTGGGAGCTGTAGTTCCGTCAGGAGGGGGCCGGGCTTTGCTGCGGTGTTCTCAGCTCTCTCACGAAACCACAGTTCCCAGAATGCTTTGGAGGGCGCCATGATGGGGAAAGCGATGCGAAACAGTTGGCGTTCTGTCCACCGATTCACCGCACTTTGCTCCTCGAAATCCTGGTTTAGGTTATGCCAAATAAATGGACAAACCACAAAACGAGCGCACGGGTCAATACTTACCGAGCTAGATGGGTCAGTTATCGGTCTTGGCCCGAGGCAGCCCCTTGCTGGGTTTTTGGTTTTAAACTTTTCAGCAGCATCTGGAGGGACACTGGTAACTGCAGTTGATCCCTGTTTTATAAAACAGTTCTCAGTGTGAGTTCACAGTGCAGTCCTTGGTTTTCTACAAGCGTAAGGAGAACCCTGATGGATCAGTCCAAAGTCCCAGCTATAGTTCAGCATTCTGTTCTCACACTGATCAGCCAAATGCCTATAGAAACCCTGCAAGCATTTGACACCACTTACAGTTCCCAGTAATTAGCGCTCCACTTAAAAAAAAAAGGCATGGAAGGGATCTATATGAAATCCACACGTGCTGTCATCACACAATAAAATCTATACATAGGTTTTTTAACCATTTAAAAATAATTCTTAAGGGTGGTATAAGAATATAAGAAATAAAAATAAAATAAGGTATTTCCATTTATTTCTTATATATTTATACCACCCTTAATCAAAAGATGAAAAGATTTTATGTATAGGTGTTAGTAAAATGTGGAGCAGGCCTGATATAGATGTTTCAAGTATTTTTGGGCCCTGAGTTTATGTATCCTAGTCAGCAGTTTCCTGCTGAGCCGAACAGTAGACTTCAATCTTTTCAGTCCTAGTAAGCACTTTTAACCCAAACAGTCATTTGGGGACCCATTTCTTAACCTTTTACTATATATTTGCATGATGGTAGTGCTCCTATTGTAATATGCTTCAGATTAGTCCACCAGTTGAAGATCAGTGCTGTAGATGCTATGTTTCAGCACTCCATTCTAAACTTGATTATCTTGACTGCAATCCTACTCACAATTGGTCTGCTTAAATACCTTTAATTCCATGTTTATTACTGCTTGCAGAAATGTATATTAATGTACCATCTTTCTTTTATTATTTGTACATTTTTATGGTATATTTGAAGCTACTTCTTTGTGGAGATCAGTAGATGCTATGGCTGTAAATAATGGCAATTTAACACTTTTCCCACTCTTTATAGTTTCTGGGCGATCTGCAATGCTACTGCAAGCTCGGTTTGAAGGGAATACTGCTGTGACTCAACGTAAGTCTGACTTGCTTAGTGTTTGATCAACTCATCCTTTATTTTGCATTACAATAAGTACAGTTTTGTTAAGTGAAAACTATGTACCACCTGATTGTAAGCAGATGAAGTTTGATGTTAAAAAGGACATGTGCAAATGACTTCATCTAATTCATTCTTAAGTTCCTGGTAAACTTAATGTTTATAGAGGCTTCCTGATTTCTGAGACAATACTATCAGTTTCGTGGACACTGAATACTTACTAGACATTATATTATCTGTCAGGCATGCACTAATCTGCTGTAGAGTTTGAATAATTACGTTTCCTATAGTGCTGATTGGCCCACTCCCCTCCAAAAAAGAACCCCACACACAGCAGAAAAGTTAATGGTACAATAGGTATATCTGACCATGTTGACCAGTGTTGAACTGCTCCCATCCCTGTGGTAGCAGTTGGAATAACATTGAGCTGGCTTGGCTATGAGCTGGTGCTGTTCTTTTTAGAATTCACCACCGTAAACTTTCTTTTCAGCTACTGTTAGACCAAAGGATGAAGTGACACAAAAGCAGCTGTGTGCTTTTGGAGAATATGTGGCTGAAATTCTGCCCAAGTACGTTCAACAAGTCCAGGTGGGTTCCATCAACTGTATCATTCTCTCTTGAAACTTTAATAGGCAGTACTAAGCCTTTTCTGAAAGCTAATGAGTGCTACAAGGAGCTGGAAAGGTATACAATTGTTCCTTGGTCTGCTGTTCTGCAGCCTGAACTGCTTACAGTTTTCAACACATCTATTTGGAAGTCATTTCATTGGTTTTAACGAGATTTCTGTCTAAGTTCTTAGAATTTGGATGAAGTTGATCCATACAAAATTTTACTATTTCTCATTTTAACAGGTGACATGTTTCAACGAGCTAGAAATTTTAATTCATCCAGATGGGATCATTCCAGTTTTGACCTTTCTTAAAGATCACACCAACGCCCAGTTCAAAAACTTAGCTGATCTGACGGCAATCGATGTTCCATCTCGACAGAACCGCTTTGAGGTAGGAGCTGCTCTTCAAGCTATGCTACAAAGAAGATTCTAAGGAAGACGCAGTCTTCCAAAAAAATTCACATGGCTAAACAAGAATGTGAGAGTATCCTAGTTTCCCCCATGTTGGTGCCCCAGCCCTCAGTTTTGCTGACTGCCTTGGCTTTATGCTCACTGACTACTAGTATATTACTCCTGGGTTACTTTCTCAGTTTTTCTTCTGTTGATCTATGTAGTCGCTGATCTAGAAATGATGGTTGTGCTTAACAGTGTGATGTTAGTGACATTTGTTTTGGGAGAGAATTCTGTTGCTTAAACAGCTGATTGACCTGCTTAGTCATCAAGCATTGTCTTGGGAAGCAGCAGCACCTGTTTCCAGAAGTGGATACTTATAAATATACCTGAAAATATATTAGTTTGACAGAAGGGAAGCTATAATTTTACTTGTGGGACCCTCTTAGTAACAGCATCTGACAGCTCTGTACAGTCCAACAGAGTTATAACTTCTTTTTTCTTTGCCTCGACCATGTTAAAATATTCACGCATATATAAATGTCTTCATAGATTGACCTAAATATAGCAATTCAAATTCTTCTCTAGCTCAAATTAGTTTAAATTGTGTTTCATCAGTGTAATACAATATCCAACTGAACAAAAAGTATTTAAATTTGTATCACATTTCATCTATGTTGTGGGTTTGTAGTACTTCCAGCCACAGTGCTGCAAACTTTGACAGATGGGCTCTTAAGAAATCTGTATATCTTGGGAATAAACCAGAGATACAGTGGTACCTCGGGTTACATACACTTCAGGTTACATACCCTTCAGGTTACAGACTCCGCTAACCCAGAAATAGTACCTCGGGTTAAGAACTTTGCTTCAGGATGAGAACAGAAATTGTGCGGCGGCACAGCAGCAGGAGTGGTGCTTCAGGTTAAGAACAGTTTCAGGTTAAGAACGGACCTCCGGAACGAATTAAGTACTTAACCCGAGGAACCACTGTATATGATCATTATCAGAAGTAGCCATTTCTTCATGTATAGACAAGACCTTTTGTTGCATATACTGTTAGCTTTGGAAATCATTTCAACATTAAGGAACTTTTTTAAAAAAAAAATTCCCTCTGTCTTTTTATGTGGCTGTACTATAATCATACATGTTATTCTTTTTTGTGATGTCACAATCTGATAATGTGTACTAATACATGACAATGCTGTTTTTTACCTTTTCCTTTTAGATTGTCTATAATCTCTTATCCATAGCCTATAATTCCCGGATTCGTGTGAAAACATATACTGACGAATTGACACCCATTGAATCAGCAGTCCCAGTGCACCAAGCAGCAAACTGGTATGAAAGAGAGGTAAGCTGCAAGGTGGTTGACATTTGGGAAGAGGGGACAGATCTGGTATGTTTTCTTGGAAGAAAAGGGAGCCCACTGTTTAATTTGAGTTGAACACAGTCCCTGTGGCCCAGGTTGCCCTAAAGGGCCTGGTGCCGCTCGCATTTTTCTGTGTGCACATTCCTTTTCTGCAAACATCACATTCTGTCCCTTTTGGCTCAATGGCCCTTTAGGTGTTGATCAGTGATCACTCCTTCCCAATGATATGATCTCAATTCTATAGGCCTTAAGGTCCTGGATAACTTCTGTTTGGCGTTATTTGGAGAGTGTTTGTTGCCATTTCAGGACAATTGAAACCACTTAGATGTTTTATCCAAGCAGCATATAAATGATGTAAAATAGTAGAGTTTAAGCAAGTGATTGATGTATTTTTAAATCTTCAGCATTTATACAATTGAATCTCACTTGCTGCCTTGCCTATGAGGTGTCTCAGCCAGCTAGCAATGAGTGCCTGATGCTTTGCATTTGTGAGGTAATAAAAATGTTCATATAAATCGGCCCAAGCTAGGTTTCAAAACTGCTATACTTTGTAAAAGGCGAAAAATTTATACAATCTGAGGAGAAGCCAGGGAGAAACTTTGGAAGAATGATTTGAAGTTTACTGCATGCTACACACTGAAAGAAAACTCTATGAAAATGATCCATAGATGGTATCTAACTCTGTGTAGATTGGCTAAAATGTATAATGTAGAATTGGATTTGTGTTGGAAATATAAAGAAGTAGAAGGAACTTTATTTCATATGTGGTGGGCATGCAAAAATGTAAAAGAATATTGGGGAAATGATATATAATGAGATGAAAAAAACGTTCAAAACAACATTCCAGGGGTGGGGGGAAACAGGCATTTTTGTCAGGAATTATTCAGACAGAGGTTCCTAGGAGACAGAAAAAATTATTTAGTTATGCAACTACAGTGGCTTGGATCTTGCTAACCCAAAAATGGAAAGTGAGGGGTGTCCCCAGCAAGGAGGATTGGCAACTTACGATGTTAGAATATTCAGAGTTAGTGGGTCTAACAAGTAGAATAAGAGAATGAAAAGAACAGGTATTCAAGGAGGAGTTGAAATTTTTTGTCGGGTATATTGAAAATAATTGTGAACAATTGAAAACGCTGACAGTATTAAAGTAAATTCAACAGTATAATTTGAAGTGATGTAAGATAGGAAAATAGAATTAGATGGATATATCAATATATGGAGGAATGGTGAGAAAGTTAAATGACCCTTGGAAGGGGAGGGAAGTCAATAAATGTATGGTATAATAAAATATGTTTAATTTGTAATGTAAAATTTGAATATATATATATGACCAAAATTGATATACTTTGCTGTTTCTTTACTTGATTCCCATATTCATAGGTTTGGGATATGTATGGAGTGTTCTTTGCTAACCACCCTGATCTGAGGCGAATCCTCACAGACTACGGGTTTGAGGGTCATCCCTTCCGGAAGGACTTCCCTCTTTCTGGATATGTGGAGGTATGAGCATTTGGAAAAGCTAGACTCAACTGCAGAATCCTTCCAGAGGCCCAGTATGGCATAGTGGTTCAAGTGTTGGTCTAGAGCATGGTTTGAAGCTCAAGGAGGTCCTGTAGGCCAGTCAGCAGCTCTCAGCCTAATTCTCACAGGGTTGTGGGAAGGATATAATAGGGAAGGGGAGAAGCATGCATGAGCTCTGTGGCTGAAAGGTGGGGTATAAATGTAATATTAAATAAACATCAGACCCTATAACTGAGTTACATTGAAGTCTTACTCTGCTGTACAGGCAACAGAGAATTCAAGAAAAGGGAAAGGAAGCTCACCTGTTTTGTGGATATGTTCTCTGATATTTGTTCATTAGCCTCCTTAGGGCAATGGTTCTGCTGTTGCATGTTGTACCCTTGGTTTATGAGTTCCTATTTTGCATGGATGAAGTCATGTCCTGGACGTGGGAGGAACTTCATCCTCAGAAGGGACATTGACTCTGCTGGCAATGCTTTTGATTGGGGTGGGTGGGTGGGTTAACTCTTTCCTGCCTGGTCTCCTGCCCTGTGACCAAAAGTCCATGTATTAAGCACCCTTTGAGACATGCCTTTGATTAAGTGCCTTTGATGCTACATAATATAATGTCCTGAGAATCCTGCACTTTATGACTTTTGGGCTCACAAACCACTTGAGAAGCTTTAGCACAGGCATAGGCAAACTCGGCCCTCCAGATGTTTTGGGACTACAACTCTCATCATCCCTGACCACTGGTCCTGTTAGCTAGGCATGATAGGAGTTGTAGATTTGGAGATACTGCTTTTATCGCCTAACTGGAAAATTTAACTAACTGGAAAATGGACTGTTGATCTATACTAAGCAACCTACAAACGAGGAGGAAGCTTAATTCTAAAATTCCAGGTATGTTTTTGTAGTTGACCGCCATCACCATCGCTCATCTTAATGCCTTTTCTCCTCCTTCAGGTCAGGTATGATGATGAGGTGAAGCGAGTGGTGGCAGAGCCTGTGGAGCTGTCTCAGGAGTTCCGCAAATTTGATCTGAACAGTCCCTGGGAGACTTTCCCTGCCTATCGCGAGGCTCCGCAAACCATCAAGATAGAGGCAGGAGAGAAGAAAGGAGATGAGAAATAGCAGCAGGAAAGAAGGAGAGGAAGCCAGAGATATCCTTGTGTCACCACCTTCCTGTTTGATCTAAGTATTTATATATATTAAATATCAATAAAAAACTTGACATAAGGTTTTTTGTCTGTCTAATATGTGCGGGAAATGCAGCTTTCAGACTGGCTGTGAAACATGCATAAGTTGTTTTTAATATCCAGAAGATTGGAGCAGGGTTCAAGGTATACAAAGGAGCAGCAGGGAAGAGTACAAAGAACTGGGGAGGTTGTGTTTTTTGTTTTTTAAAAGAGCACTATGAGAACAGTAGACTCTGCTTCCCTTCAGGAAAGAAACAAAAACCTCAAGAAAGAAGGATCCCATGCTTTATGACCATCAACTGTTTGCAAGCACAGACCCTCAGTTGCCCAGAGACACTGCAGGCACCAAAGTTCCAGCCTTGCTGTTTCACTTTTGGTAAAAGGCTCCATTCTAGAATTATTGAATACTCTGTGTAGCTGGAAAACTGATTTTTTTTGTTGAAACAAGCAAAACGGGTCACATTCAACTGCTAGTGCAGCAGACTTCCACGTGCACAGTGGAACTTCCCTTCCTCTCCCCTGTGCCCCCCCCTCAAAATATCCAGAAAGACCCTCAAGCCGATTTTGAGGCTATGGGGGAGCAGAGAGGAAGAAGTCCCATGGAACTCTGCACACAAAGTCTATTGGATTGTTAGGCCTATTTGTGTGTCTTCAAACAAGCTGTGGTCACGCAGCTGCTGTTGGAGGACACTGGCAGCAGTGTCTGCGGGTTATTGAGAAATTCTCTAGGCCATGAAGTTGGATACATTTTATTAATGTCTCTATCTGCCAATTCATTTGTGACCCCCCCACCCCAATATGCTGCAGTAAATGTGACCGCAAGCATATGGCTTTGTTACTCAATAATGAATGTGGCCATAAAGGAGGCTGCTCCTTGAAATGTGGAGCAATATGAGTTGTGGTTTTCTGGTTGCCCCTCTACTGAGAATAAACATTAAGCACCAAAAGTGAGCCAAACACTCTGCAGAAGCAAGGCATAGATCGTTGCAGGGCTTAGGACAGGAATGGGGAGGATGTGGCCTTCTGGATGTTGGACCCCCAGTTCTCACCAGCCCCAGCCAACATGGCTAATAGTCAGGGATGATGGGAATTGCGGTCCAGAAACATCAGGAAGGCCACAGGTTCCCCATCCCTGAGCACAGGCTGTAACATAGAGGACCGGGTGTGATATAAGAGAAGGGGGAGGATGAGCGGGTGGAGGGCTGCAAACAATAGATTTAATTTGACCTCAGATATATTATATGGAAAGTTTCCTTTCTTGAGGGTTTGAACCCAGAACAATGTTTGGAATCCAGATGTTTTAAGCTTTTGTTCTAGTTAAATTTCATTTGTTTAAAAAAAGCTGCTGTTGCAGCAGTATGGGGGATTTCTGAGAGACAACAGAAGTTGTGCCAAAGCTCACTGCAGAGATTTGAGCAGCTGGAGTTCAGCACATGTGGAGCTAATCAGCTACAGAGTGCTTTCCACTTTGCATTGGAGGGAGTAGGGTGGGCGAATCTTCCCAAACATCTCCCCTTTTCTAGATAATGGGGAGCAGTTGCCATTTTCCTTACAATGGATTTATGCCTTTGCAACACTTTGCAGATTGTCAAGAATTACTGGAGTGAACTTAAATGACAAGTCCAGGGCCATTTTTGATGTTTCAGCGATCCTTTGTCAACAAGACTTGTTCTAGAGGTTTCTCACACGCACCTCTAGGGAGTACCCAATTTGGTAAAATTTCCAGAAAACTGGCTTAGATGCAATGAATCAAACTCCATGGATTAGTGTGTGCTTAGACCTGTTTTGGAAAGAAGGGTAGCATTAAGATACTGTGGCACTTTTGTTGTCTCTCTTCCTAATGAGAGGAAGAAGAGATTCAGCCTGTGGAGGCACCAAACCTGAAAATGATACAGTAGCTGGGAAAGATGAAAATGAAGAGGATTGTGGGCAACAATACTGTTTTGACTGCAGGTGTCTTTATAGGTTTGAAATACACACAACATCAAGGCCCTCTAGATATTGGTGTATCAATATGGGATTTGGGTTGTATTTCAACACTGCACAAGTGGATTGCCATTTGCACACTGGCACTGCCCTTCCTCTCCTTCGTCTGAATGCTGCCCTATCTGCTTTGGAAGGACCCACATCCCTCTGGGATACATGTTGAGGGTGCATGAGGGGGCTGCAGGGGAGAGGAAGGGGGAATCCCATTGCACATGCAAACGTCTGTTGTGCAAACTGAACCACAGCATTGGGTCAAACTTGATAAGCTTTTGATATTGGTACAAGGGGGGGGACTGGGTAGGTGCAGAAAGTTTCTTACCAGTCCCACACTCCATGAAATTATTTAAATATATAGAATCCAGCAACCCTTTTAAAACATTGGGATGGTGCTAAAAGGGAGAGATGCTACAGCAGGGGATGGGGAACCTGAGGCCCTCCGGTTGTTTGCTCCAGCTCCCATCAGCCCCAGCCCACACAGCCAATGATCAGGGATGATGGGAAATGTAGTCCCAACATCAATTGGAGTGCCATAGTGGATTTGCAGGGTTATAGGTCATAAATCCTGTTTTTCCTGAAATCCAGGGGTGGGGGTGGGAAAGTGCTGTGGAAAATTCCTATGAATGGCTGAAACGGATGATAATATCAAACTTCTTAAAACTGGTCCTCCCATGTGGAGATAGCTGGCTGATGGAGATGGTTGGGTGTGTGTTGGTTTCTGACAGGTCACTGTACTCCTCTTTCGCCTCCAAGAGCAACGGAGTTGAAGAAATGACCTTTCTTTCCTCTCTACTGAATACTTTCTGGCATAGATTTGCCAGCCCCACCCTCCTGTGGCATGTCAGAATTTCTGTTGGATTTCAGTGCTGGAAAGCAAACTTTGAGGGGGAAAAGAATGACTTGAAGCAAAATGAAACAAGCTGCACTTCCATTGTCCTTCAGGCAGTATCAATGGGCCTTTCTAAGGAGGACTAGTTTATGGCCATGCACGTTTCAAATTGTCAGTATAAATCCTTGGTTATTAAGAGCATGTTCTTTCTTTTCTTAAAAGCTCGCAGCTGGTTGGGGGAAGGGGTAGAATCATAAAAGTCTTAACCTGGTGAGCCAAAAACCAAATAAGGAACAGCCCGATGCTCCAAGTGGAAATAAATGGGACTTGCATTGGCAGAGCATTTGGAGAATCTGGAGCCTGAGCCTTCAAAGTTTTTTTCTTTTGCATTATGATGGAAACTATCTGTTAGGAACTGGGAATTGAACTGGAAGCCCTGCCCTGGGCTGGAATTGGAGAAAGGCCAGCTGTCTCAGCAGCAACTTCTTGGACTGTAAAGAGAGGAGAAAGAAACTACACAGCAGTAAACAACTTCAGGTTCACCCAAAGTGTTTTATCTGTAGAAGGGGGTAAGGACTCTTCCTGACATGGCCCAGACGCTGCAGCTGCACTTTGGAACCTGCCTGTGGGCAGCTCTGATGCTCTGTGTGTTTGCTGGATCCCGGAGACAGACAGGTAGGAAGCTCACCCACAACTGGAGAAGGCTGCTCTGCAGTGGGCAGCCAATATATTTCTGTTATTATCAATGCAACCGTTCGGGCTATTTTGTGCATGAGTGCCAGTGGAGGGTTTTTCATGGGCTTTTTTCAGGACTAAGGTTATCTGATAAAACTCAAGAAAGGATTGCTACTGTGCCAAAGAAAATAAGTCAGGATCTTGCTAGAGTGAGACAGTTAAACAGACACAGATACTTTCTACTGAGTTTTCACACACTCCTTTCACATACTTTCTAAGGAATGCTATACGTATCAACGACTTTTCCTCTGTTTAATCTCTGAAACAAGCATCTGTTTGTATGGGACACTCATGCAGCTCTTCTCTCTTGGAATTAATAGCATGTTAACATCATCTGGGAACTTTCCAGCAGCCTTCAAACATAGGTGGCAGCTATGAGGCAGGTGCTTTGTGAGGAAAATCTTGACTTTATTATTATTTCTGCAGTGGTTTACTCTGTTGCTGTATTCTGCTTCCAATTGCTGCTCGCACTGTTGCATTCACAAAATGGCAAATGGTTTTGGACTAACAATTCCAGAGAGGGCTAGTTTCTGACTGGTCTATTTATATACTGAATTTCCGTAGCCGTTTTCTTGATACCTCACTCTCAGAAGCAGGAGTTTGAATTTACCGTAGTGATATGATTGCATTAGTAAGGTAATAAAATGTGAAGTTGCCAGGTCCTGGTTAGGAAAGCAACTCTTGTGCCTTAAAAAAAAGTGGCAGGGTTATTATTATTATTATTAATTTATTATACTTCACCACAAGGATTAAGTTAAATGTTAAAGGTTAAGTTACAACAATTTAAAATACAGCCGTCTAAAACAAACCACATTCACAATAATTGGATGGGTCCCAAAAACATACACCTCGGGTGGCAATGGCCAGGGGAAAAGCAATATTTTTAAAGGTAGCACAAAATAGGGCTTTTCATATCATTTACTGAAGGCATAGGATGCCCGCCACTGCCAACAGAACTTTTTTCTTTTTAAAGGCTTGGAAGTCACTTGGGTGAACTCAACAAAACAGATGTTGAGAACTATACTACCTTCACCATTAGTGTTATTTTAATGGAATATTTCTGTTCCTGCCTGTCAGTCTCAAAAGACTTCCTGAATTATGTATTATGGAGAAATGAAATGCAGCTGCAATCTGAGCTTTAATCCAAAATTGAAGACAGATGGCTTTGATCAGGAGACTGCAACCTGGCTAGAGGCATCATCTTTTCTAAGCAAAAGTGCACAGCCTCATTCTCCAAGCAACTTCTGTGAGTTTTTCTCCACGACTCTGGGGAGAATTACTCTAGAAGGGAAAGCTGGAAGCTGTCTGCAATAAGGAAAGTTACAGAAACAGCAGATGTTATATTTCTTGCAGGCACCTCCTTAGCTTAATCTAATAATCCCAATGATGAAATTCAGAAAATACATTTCTAGAGCAAGCCTAACCTCTATTTTAGTTCTTATCTTGCCTCTGTGAGTTGAGAACCTTAACTTTTTACATCTGTGCCAAAAATGAAAATATTGTAGATCAGGAGTTCCCACTGGCTTTTTCATTCCAACAATACACTGAGCCTCTCTGTGCCTTATTCCCAAGGGTACTTGCCTAGTTTATATATATCATTACACTCCACTTTACGTCCCTGGCTTTTTAGAGACTGTCAACCTCCTTCCCTCCCACCTTATGGCTTTCAGAATTAACCTTTATATCATTGCATTTTGTATGTTTTCCAATTCTAATTACACACATTACAAAATAACTCAAAATTTAAATAAATATAGAAAGGTAGAAAGTTTCTCATTGCAAGACTTCAAACAACCCTGCTAGTGATGTTAGTTGCTTACAATAATCTTTCAGATATCGTATAAATTTACTCCAGTCCTTTTGAAACACTTGATCTTGTTGGTTTTCGATTTTTCCTGTCAGCTTCTGTCAGGATTTTTTCCTGTCAGAGTTCTGCAAAGTCCATCATCTTCAACTGCCACTCTTCTTTTGTTGGTACTTCGTTGCATACATAAACAGTCTTTTATCTTCCCTTAGTATCTCTTCACTCACTATACCCAATAAAAAGGCTTCTGGTTTTTAACAAAAGTATTTTTAAACAATTTCTTTAACTCATTACGGTATATATCATTTCCCAGAAAGCCTTTACCTCTTTACAAGTCCACCACATGTGCTAAAATACCGTACCTTCCTTTTCCTTACATATCCAGCACTCATTAGTTCTTGTCTTATACATTTTGGCAAGTTTAGCTGGTGTTAAATACCATCTATACATCATTTTCATAACATTTTCTTTAAGTGCGCTGCATGCAGTAAAATTAATACCTTCCCTCCATAACCTTTCCCATGATTCTAATTGAATATTATTTCCAAAATCTTTAGCCCGATGTATTATCACAGTTTTAACCTCTTCATCTTTGGTACGCCATTCCAGGATACTTGCCTAGTTTTGGACTCCACAGTATAATGCACTCCAGACCTGCTTCTGTATGCAACTCCACTTGCAAAATATGGCCTGGTGCTGCCTCCCACAGTCCCTAGCAAAGAAATCTGGGAACAGCTGAACTGTTTGGTTTGGGGACTAGTGGCCCTTCAGTCATTGGTGAAATGCAACTCCATCATTCTTGAGCACTCACAATGTTTGCTGCAGCTGATGGAAGCTGTACTTCACCAACATCTGGAGGGCCACGGGGCCCCCACTTCTGGTCTAGCCTACGGGTTGTAACAATGGAGCGCATGAGTCCCTGCCAGGGGAAAATGCAGGATATAAATAAATATATAATAATGCCTAAACAGAGAAAAATATTACGGTAAATACAGAACCAGCTAAGTAAGAATACATAAAGTGATGAGATAAGACTTCAGTATAACTTAGCATGCTAAGTTAAAACAATATACAGTACAACAACATGAAATGGAGGAAGTTCCGTGACCTTTAAACAGGCTACCTCACTTACAGCAAATTTCATCCTTTTGAACAAAATACAGTAGTTCTAAGTTTTACTGTGATCATTGCAGTATACTTTATTAACTTTATCAGCATGCAGCGGAGGCTGGTCCACTGGGGCTACTGGGACACAGATCTCCCACTGAAAATGCCTAATAATAATAATAAATTTTATTTATACCCCGCCCTCCCTGGCCAGAGCTGGGCTCAGGGCAGCTAACACCAATAAAATCACAATAAAAACATAACAGGAGAAAAAGAGAGAGGGGAAAAAAACACCCCAATTTAAAATACAGGTTAAAATGCAATTTAAAATGCAGCCTCATTTTAAAGTAGCTGATAAATCAAGACCATAAGGGGAGGGAAACATAAGGGTCAGACTGAGTCCAAACCAAAGGCCAGGCGGAAAAGCTCTGTCTTGCAGGCCCTGCGGAAAGATGTCAAGTCCCGCAGGGCCCTAATCTCTTGTGACAGAGCATTCCACCAAGTTGGGGCCAGTACTGAAAAGGCCCTGGCCCTAGTTGAGACCAATCTAACCACCTTGCAACCTGGGACCTCCAAAATGTTGTCATTTGCGGACCTTAAGGTCCTCCACGGGGCAGAATAATAATAATAATACTCCCCCAAATCTCTAAGCCAAGCAGTATTTCCTGTTCCACACACAAGGTGGGGGGGGTCACATGTCACTGGTGGGTGGAGTCAGAGGCAGAAGTGGGTGGAAGAATGGATGTGATGCTTGGCTTTACACAGCACAACCCAGCCTTGCAAAATCCAGTGTCCCTACTCACATGTCTCTCCGTCCTGATGAGAATGAGGCATTATTGCAGATCAAGCAACGCACTCCAGTCAGACAAAGAACCCAGAAGGGTGCAGAAGTAGGACAAGTGAGGAGCATGATCTGGAGAGGAGCCATTGTCTAGAGGAAATCCCTCAGGCCAGCTGAAAAGGCCTGGAGGGCCTGAGGTTCCCAACCCCTGACTTAGTCCAACCGGCTTTAAAAGGCCTGAAACTTTTTGAGGGGGAAACCCTCTGGGAGGTTTATATGCAAGGATGGAGCCTCAGCCAGAGGCAGACTATCTGTTGGAGTTGTGTATGAGGGAGCTAGGAGAGAACAAGACCATGATGAAGTAAATATCAAAGCTATACTCTGATTGTTAAATAAATGAAACCACATTATATTGAAGAAATTTGACATCTGTCTTTACTGGTGTACCCGAGAGAACAAAACAGATTGTATCATTATTGCTCCCCATTTGTGGAATTCTCTCCACAGGGAGGCTTGCCTGGCACCTTCATAACTTACCTTTAGGTGCCAGGTGAAAACATTTCCCTTTCACAAGCTGTTTGGCTGATTAACATTCTATGGCCTTTTAAATGTGTTTCTGGGAAGTGGGTTATTCGTTTTGTTTTTGTTTTATTATGTATTTTGTGTTTTTATTTTGTATTTTTATATTGTGAACCTCCCTGTGATCTTCATATAAAAAGTGGTATACATTTTTAAAAAACAATAATAAAGATTATTTTATAATAAGTGTTTTATATATAACCTGAGATTTTTACCTCAGGTTAATATTGAACACAATAAAATAAATCTCAGAAAATCAGGCATATATGTGAAGGAGGATAGGTGAAGAGATGTTGATTTAAATACTATTTTCTCTATTGTTTTTCCAGATGAACAAATTGACCTCCAGGATGCTCCAGATACAAATGGGGTTGAGAATGCTGGCATCATACTAGAGGTAATTTAGGCAAAAGCAAATCCACAAAGAAAAGGATGTGAGGTTCCTTCACCTTTGGCATGCCCTGCTGATATCACTGCAACAGCTCCAACTTCTTGGCCTACAGTTACCCAACCTTTCATTTTGTTGGTGCCAGGAGGAGAAGTGTGATTGTCATTGTGTAGGAACAATGACACACTTCTGCCCCTTCTTTAGTACTGAGGAATGTGGCTGTGTTAGGTGTGAAGATGGTCACTGTGCATCTAGGAGCTTAGGAATCTACCATATACAGTGGTACCTCGGGTTAAGTACTTAATTCGTTCCGGAGGTCCGTTCTTAACCTGAAACTGTTCTTAACCTGAAGCACCACTTTAGCTAATGTGGCCTCCTGGTGCTGCTGCTGCGCCGCCGCACAATTTCTGTTCTCATCCTGAAGCAAAGTTCTTAACCTGAGGTACTATTTCTGGGTTAGCGGAGTCTGTAACCCGAAGCGTATGTAACCCGAAGCGTATGTAACCTGAGGTACCACTGTATTGAGTTGGCAGCAGCTTTTGAGAGTGACCAGGGAAACCCAGCCAGATGGGCAGGGTATAAATAAATTATTATTATTATTATTATTATTATTATTATTATTATTATTATTATTATTATGCGTTTCATGCAGGGGACATTCCGAGCTCTACCTGGAGATGCCAGAGATTAAATCTGGGACCTTCTGCCAGCAGATTCTCTACCACAGCACTTGGCTACTGTTACCAATGCTTGAAGCAAATTTCAAAATTTTTGTATAGGGTATGGTAGCAATGGCCCTCAATAACATTAGTGCTCCGATTTGTTTTCTCTTGGCTCTTCAGTTTCGACAGAGATCATTATACTGCACAATGCCCCCTTTTTTTACAGCAGCTCCACATTACTAAGGATCTCAGGTTCTCTTTTACTTCAGCTAAGGCATCGGCTGAAGCTTCAGTGAGGAGACATGGAACTCCCGAGAAACACTGTTTTCTGCTTATGTAAACTATAGTCCACAAGATGGCAGCCTTGGGCTACTTCTGCTCATTAGACTGAGCTAGCTGGCTGGGCTATAGGAAGGAGATATGGAAAGATTCCGAACTCTTGATTGTGCAACAGCCCAGTTGAGTGACAGAGAACACATTCAGTACTGGGCTACCAACATTTGCTGTTTCACCACTTTCTTTAACAGCAGTATTTCTTAAGGTGATGGTCTTCATCCTTCAGAATTGGAACCCACTGTTAACCTTCAACAGGGAACCCATGCTTAATATTTATTCTCCCTCTGCATGTGTGAACCTTCCACACCCTTCCTTTTTAAAAAATAATCTTAAATACACACACACCATTGCCACCAAAACAGTGGTGATATCAGTGACGAACTCTGTTTATTATATTGGAGCACAATTCATTTTGAGGTCTCAAGCAGCCAGATGCAGATGGGTATCTGAGCAGTAATCTTCACTTAATGTTTGTGAGCTTTGCTTAGCCTGTATCAGAATTTCCTGCCCTTATTTGTGTTGAAGAGCTAGAATCAGGAATGCAGGAAACAAATCTCCTCTAGGAGCAGGAATGATGTGGTACTGGATAGTTCCACAATCCTGCCATTGTGAACAATATTCTCTTGATGATCCCTCACTCCATCTGCCATGCCTAGCAGTTTAAAAGACACCCAAGTTTGACAACATGCCTGTAGATGGGTACAGGCTATGTTGGAAAGGAAACTTTGGATAAGGAGTCACAGGGCTAGAATGGAGATAAAATTAATCTAGCTCTAGGCACGGGAAATTTGCATAGCTGTCAACTTTTCCCTTTTCTTGTGAGGAATCCTATTCGAAATAAGGGAATTTCCATTAAAAAAAAGGGAAACGTTGACAGCTATGGAAATTTGTGACCCTCCAGATGTTGTTGGACTTCACTACCCAATGGTCAACGGTTAGGGATGAAGGGAACTATAGCTCAACAACATCTGGATGTTGGTTCCCCATCCCTGCATTGGCCCAAAGATAGGACTGCCAAGTGTCCTTTTTATCACCAGTTATTTCTCATGAGCCAATCTAAGCTGGATTGTAGATGCTGTGAATAGAGAAGAGTCCACAACAAGCCATTTGAATGGTGTCAGGAATAGTTTAATAACACAACCCAGATGACGCAAGCAAGTAAGTCAAGTCACATGCAACAATAGAAGCAAATTTTATCCTCCTGGCCATTAGCCACTCTGCCCTGAGCAAAAATTTATTCTCGAGCATGATCACTTCTTACCACAGAGAAAAAACTGTCTGCTGATCCTCACAATTCTATTCTTTTTCTTTCAGTTACTTTGGAGAGGAATTGAAATTATGGCCAATGAGACAATCAGGATTGAGGATGAAGAGTTTGCCTCTCTGCGTCCCACCAAGCGATTACTCCGGGTTCTTCAGCATGAGATTCCAAAAAACCCAGATGGGATTGAAGAGTACCTGGACTTCCTCTCACAGTCTGACACCCCTATAACTCCACAGGAATTCAAGAAGCTCATCTTTACCACTGTCTACTGTGCTTACCAAATTCGCTCCATTCAAGGCCTGGAGAAAAACCTCTGGATCAACCTTTTCTCTCAGCTGGTTATTGAAATACTCCGTGATCTCTGCAAACGATTCTGTTCGAAGGAATCTATGGATTCTGTTCAGCTTCTGGCCTCTAGGCCTTGGCAGGAAATGCCTGTCTATATTTCTGCACTGAAGAAATTCTACCGGTCTAGCCTAGCCAGGACCCAAAGAGACTCTCATCCATAAAGGGGAAATCTTGGTCCCTCTAAGCCAAATTAATATGCAAATATATATTTTTAGGTTCATTCTCCAGGAATATGCACAGAAGTGTCACCCTTCCTGTTTTCTTATCTCTGGTGTAGCTGCTGCTTAGCTTTTCACTGGATTTCTATGATTAGCATGTTGCTCAAGGCCTCTGCCCTGCGCTCTCTATAGGACACGCAATTCAGATGGCACTTTGCTTTTGATTGGAATTGGGTTACTGAGGAACATGGAGTTACATGTCCCTGCTCAGTGACCATTGTCAGAGAGCTCTTGGCATTTTTATGTGTTACACTGCAATTCTGTGTGTAGCGAAAATTACAAGAAACCAGATCCATGTTAAACACTAGGGAGATCTTACGAATTGTAAGAACTGTTTACCAACAGAACATGTATCTTCTTAGAAGGGAGCTTTTACGAAATTATGAACAATCATCAGTTCAGGAGGCTTTATGTCAGAAAGAAAGTGATGAGACTGAATGCCTAATGGGGCAGTCCTTCCAGCTTAGTGTTTCTTCTTGTATAACATAAAATTCTTCAGGTACAGTGTACAATTTGCCCTAAAAGCCACTATGTCAGAAAAGGGTTAGTTTAGTTCTACCAGGTTTGGCATCCAGACAGTGGTTGAGCAAGCCGATTGGGCACCTGGGATGGCGCGCGTGCCCTGCGCCCAGGGGCGGGGCCAGCTGCTCATGGGGGCACAGCGAGGCCTCCAAGGAGTCTGCCTGCCTCCTCCCACTCAGTCACCCTACAGCTGAGGGGGAGGCAATGGGCGGACTGTTTGGGGCAGCGCGGGGCCTGCGGGCGCTCAAGCCACTGCGTCACTCCCAGAAGAGACGCATGGCTCAGGTGCACTGCAGGCCCCGTGGTGAGTGTCGCCTACCATTTTGTCACCCCCCTCAGTGGGGACACCCAGGGGGGGCCCGCACCTACCGCACCCGCCTTGCTATGCCCCTGCATCCAGACCGTTTGAAGGAAGCAGTTAGCAAATTTAGTAAGTCTGTTCCACGACCTACAACTTTAACCACTGAATGTACCATAAGCAAGCAAGCTTGCTTGGCTCCACATATGACTCAAATATGCTTTGTGTGATAAACAGTGCACTGGGGAAGCCATAGGTGAATTGTGGTATCAAACACTTGTGGGAATTTAATTTTGAATGTATTAAGGAATGTGCCGTTTAGGGAGCTGTCTGTATGGTATTAGTTAACAGAGTTTGTAAGCAAATGAGACTAGGGTGTTGCATATGTTCTGGTTGGGACCTGATATAAACTTTTAAGGGCTATGCTACCTTTTAAAATGTGAATATATAAACTTGTGATAGCATTGTCTCAGCCAAGAAATATCTTTAGTCTTGCCCTTGGCTTTTTAACTTAATCAATCATTGTCTGTCTGCAGAAGTGGGCTTCAGCAGGTGTCTGTGCCAGAATATCCCAATCCTACACCAGTTGTATTGGTCAAACTGCACCATGCCAGGGTTAAGCATACATGGAATAGATGCCCCAGCACCCAAACATGGAAACAATGCTTTTAAAACAGCAGAAAAAATTATACCACCGAACAGACCTCAGTGGGTTTGGGTCCCATTCATTTGCTGTTAAAGTGGCTCTAGGCAGCCGCATAGCTTTGCCCGGTGGACCTATGTCTGGCTTCAATAATAGAATTTATCCATTTGCAGCTCCAAAGCTTATTAATATGGAGACAACTGAGTTGCTCTTCAGGCACCTAACCTATCTGTTGAAGGCAGCATCTGTAGTCATCAATATATGCAATAGCCAATAATACATTGTTGTGTTAACAACACAGCTGTGCACACACAGAGGCCAGAAGTGTTAAGTGGGCGACATTCCACATCACGCATGATGGAGTTTCACCCTTCTCCTGTTTCTCATGCCGTCTTCTGTGTTTCCTCCAGTCTTGCTCTGGACAATGCCCCAACCCTCTAGAGCAGATTATGGGGCGCACAGAGGGGAAAGGGGAATCATTTCCACCATCTGTATTCTGCTTGTGAATAAATACCATTGGATTTACCCTATTTAGTTGATTAATCAGAGGGGGGCATTTTTAATTGCAGGGGCCAGCTAAGGGCAGACATATTATTGGGTTTAAGGTTATGTTGGTTCCAGTTTTTTAATGGAAGTAGTTAATGCTTATTAACTCACACTTCCTTCAATATTGAGTTTTTGGCAATATTCAGATTTATGTAAATTAACAATTGCCTGTTAGTTAATTGATCACCTCTCTTTGTAACCAATCTGCCTCACATTCATTAATAATTGGCAGCTCCAAAACATACTACCATGTTCCATGAACTGATGATGGAGATAGCTATATCTAATCCAATATATCTAAATCAATCGAATACATCAAAACAGACAAGGAAACCCAGTACCTTTTCTCTCAGGATTTTATTGAGTTCATTATTTTCATTACAGACACCCCTCTCTCAGAGTGTTGGTCTGCATTTGCAGTGGATGTTATCAACTCCCAAGTGCCTTGCCGAGTCTTTCATAAGTTCTTCCAGTATTTCCATAAGCAGTTCCTTTATTCACATCTCATTTCACTGCCCCTATTTCTTCTACTCCCCAAGCTACCTCATGCTTTATGCTTAAATCAAACATCAATAATGAACAAAACACACATATCCCGTGAAGGTCATTCTATGAATGAATGAGTGAGGGAAACAACAATGGCTCTGCAGTCAGAACACAAGCGTGCAGCATAAGGAATGCACTGGACATACAATAGCATGCTCTTAACATTGTCATGTGAAAGATGACGTCCGTCCAGGACCTGCACCAGAGCCTACTGCATCTTGGCTTCTCTTATGCTCTTTTCATATATCTGTTTAGATTCTTGACCCTGGAGACATGTTGGCATCTGGAGGCGGTTTTGTCTTTGTCTCGGGATAGACCAGGAATCCAGTGAAGGTGATGTACTTGCCATGGTTGCTATAGGCACCATAGCCATCATGCTGGTGGCTGTAGAGCCAGACGGTGTCGCCATATTGCAGAGGCAGCATAATGCTCTGGCTCTGCATCTCACGCCTTTTGGAGTGGTTGTCATCGTAGATCATCGCCTGAACCTCGTTGTGGTTCTTCATCAGTTTCACGGACATGGTTTTGAAGGGCATCTTGCCAATGGTGAAGGAGAAATAGTAGGCACCTGGAACGCGACACGTAAAGATGCCGGTGGAGAAATTGAAATCTTTCCCAATGTTCACAAATTCTGTGTCAAATGTGATTGGCTCGTGCTGGGTTTGCTTCTCATCTGACCCCAGGAGGCTTTCTGAACGGGCAGCAGAAAAGGCTGAGCGAGTATCCTGCGATCTGCTGGGCTGGTCCGAAAAAAGGTGCTTCTCTGAGATTTCATTCTGGTTCGTTGAAAGTTGCTGAATTACATTAGGCGAAGAAGGCCCTGAAGTTTCTCCTAGCTCCTGGGAACCGACACTGTTTTGAAAATAGCCGGACGTGTCTGGATAGATAAGGTACCCATTGAAAGTTGTATAGGGACCTACATTGCTGTAGAGGGCATATTTGGGATCTCCATGTAAGCGCAGCCAGACTGTGTCACCGTAGTCCAACTGCAACATGGCACTCTGGCTTGCCACTTTCCGCTCTTTACGGTGATGCTCGTCATATACAATGGCTTGAACCTCGTTCTTGTTTCTCATCAGCATGACGGACAAGTTTTTCTTGGGGTACTTTCCAACCGTGAAGGAGAAGTAATAGGCTCCAGGGATACGGCATCGGAATAATCCAGCTTTGGGGTCAAAGTCCCCGCCAATGTTCACATAGACTTTGTCGAAGGTGATCACCATTTCAGTGCTGCCTTCCATACTGCTGGTTCTAGCGACGGAGAAAGCAGACCGGAACTCAGATCCAGAATCAGCAGGGAAGCCGTAGACAATGGAGCAGGTGATTTGACACAGGAAGCCAAACAAAAGTTGGGTTCTCAGTTGAGTCGTCATATCTAAAGAATTTTTTTAAAAAGTGAAGGGGACAACATTTTAGTTGAAGTATTTCAAAACAAGGTAAGAGCAGGTTCAGCGCTGCAGCTCGATCACACTCAAAACTAGAACAGGTTATCAGCAGGGAGGGAAGCATTTGAAATCCAAGCACCAAAGATCCTGTGGCAATCCATGTAAGACTACCATACCTTGACCAGTCGGCTGGCATCAGCCCACACGTTTATGTATGGTTACTTGGGACTGAAAACATGAAGACACTTAACATGCTCAGGAATGAACTCCAAGGGCATATCCAACTCTGACTGTTTAAAATCAAAACCATCCAGAACAATACCCTTTGATGTGGGAAAATGTGGCATGGGGGAAGTTGGGCTGGCCAACTTTCTTAAGTGCCAGCTGTGACATGAGTCATCATGGATCAGTGTTGGAAGGTGGGGTGATAGTGGAGGAGACTGCTGGAGTTTCATGTGAATCCAAGCATTCAACATGTGTCTGCAGACAAGCCCTGCAGACGTCTAAACAGAGCTCTATTTGTTGCTATGGCAACCTAATTCTGTCCAATATTTTAGTTGTTTCTCCATTTTTAACCAGTATTTGTTCACCTAAACCTACTATTGACATTTCTCTCCCTTTTCAGTTGAACACTGCTGTCTGGTTTTAAGGAACACTGATTGCTAATTCAAGATGCTTTGCCCATTGAGAGCAAGAAGTCCGGAAACTATTGTTAACAGGGCTAGATTCAAAAACAGAGCTTGGGGTGGTAGTGGAGGTAAATGTATAGAATTCTTTATTACAATAAAATAAATTATCATATATATAAGCGCTCCAAAAATAAATCCTTAATAGGCCAAATCTGCTTACGGTCTCCACCAAAGCATCAAATAAATGGGTTTGGCTCATCTTCAAAGATATTCCATAGCTTTTAGCCTATTAAGAATTTATTTCTGGAGGGTTTGCTTGTATAATAATTATTGTGGTAAATAATTCCTTGGTTTAGAATGTATTTCCCATTTCATTCTGATTTCGACTGCTGGTCCCCCCTGCCTCCTTTTCCTAAGGTGCCTTAGTTGTTTTCATGCCAGGGCTGGATGTGATTTGGTCACCCATCAAAGGGTTTGGGTGATGATGAGATGTGTGGGCTTTGTCCTGCTTAGCCTATTAGCAGCTCTGAAGTAGGCAAATGTAAACAGAGCTGCTGAGATCTAGGGCTGCTTCCTGGTTGGTCCCAGAAAGGCTACTTCACCGCCAGCACAAACAGTAGGGGCATCTCACTGGGAAAATTAGGAAAAAGTGAGGGGGGGGGGACACGACAACATAAAATGAATACACCATTCTTCACAAACCTGATTTTATCATTTGAGGGAAATAAATGCATCCCCCCCCGCTCCAATATATATAATCCTAATGGCAAGAGGCCAAAGCATGATCTATTGGCACTTTCAGCCTGAGAACAAACCTGGCAGTCATGGCATAGACATGGAGCTCTTTTCACTGTCCTTTCTTTCTTGTGCTCATTAAAACATCACTCAGTCTGAGAGCTCAATGGCTGGGGTCTCTTGTCTGCACTGTCTGTCACTTCAGAGCTGGCCCACTGCCAGGTGGCAGCCTATGAATTTAGAAGGCTGTGCTGTGGGCATCAAAGGGTTTCAAAGGCAAAGTGCTAGAGGTACCATGAAAAAGATACGGTTCACCGTGTGTGTGTGTGTGTGTGTGTGTGTGTGTGTGTCTGGAAACTCTGAAGCACAAGCAGAAGTAAAGCAAGTGGCCTACAGGTGTTGGGATCCTCTTCTAGGGAGAGATGCTGGTAGGAAGGCAAAATACTGTCATGAGAATTTCAGTCCTGGTTGTCTTTACTCTCAGGCCTGTGTCTCAAATTCCAGGCACAAATCTGGACTTCTGAATGGTTTGATCTTCTGTCTAAATCAACAGTTGCATAATTAGAAATAGAGGGAAATATCAGATCTCTTTTATCCCCATGTGCTGCAAGCAGCAAGGGCTTTCAAGCAGACCCCTTTCATGTAAAACCTTTGCACGCTCATTACCCCAAAGCTATGAAGACTATGTCTACAGAAGGTTTCCTCTCAATTCTCTGGTACGATAGAATAGTAAACACATTCACTATTTTCACATTCGCAGAACAGGAAAAAAATACGCCTTCACTCAAAGCTGCTTGATGTACACTTTTTACTGCAAAGACACATGTTTCAGTTTTTATCTAAGTAACTGCTTCTAAATTAAGATATCACCAGATCCTATGAGCAGTTTCCACTTGTGACATGGGACTCTCTCACCACACTCCTCTCCCATAATGGTTTAACAATTCCCAGAGTTCTCAGAGTGGTTTACCAGTCAATCCCTCTTTCCAGAGAACTTTGGGAATTGTAGCTCTGCAGGGGGAATAGGGGGTCTCCCAACAACTCTCAACACCTTAACACACTACAGTTCCCAGGAGTTTATTTTTTTTGGGGGGGGAGCCATGATGACTCTTCAAAGTGGTACCATAGTGCTTTAGATGCATAGTGGGGGTGAGGCCTACAAGAGACTTAAATTCAGTGTCCAATACAAGCCCCACATTTAACAAGAACTGGCTCCACCCAGGAGCTCTGAACAGCACAGAAGGACAGCTTTGTATCCGCCACACAATTGTCTCTATGAGCATTAAAAGTGGTATGAGAAAGACTGTGTGACTGTGTGTATGCAGAGGTGCTTTGAAACAATTGCAAAACCCTGAAAAGCATGTTTATCAGAGGTGAAAATGGGATGAATGTACATGCCATGAGAAGCAATCTGTTTCAAACCACCTTCAACTGTCTCCAGTCTCAGTCTGTGGATCCTTAGTGCATTCAGATATTATGGCCACAAGATTGCACTGAAGCCCTGGAGGGCTGCTATGTCTTTGTTCATACTCAGGCTGGGGATGACAGCAAAGGACTGAGCTTGACAGCATGTAGCCAGCATTGTTCCAAAGCACGTCTTATTCTCTGGGACAGGTTCAGCATTTCTCAGAGAGGCAGCTGGTAGCTGCTATGCAAAAAGGCCTTGCAGACTTGAAGACGTCTCCACTGAATGCTGACCCCCACGGTCCCTGAAACAACAACTGCCCTGTTACTGCTTCAGTGTTAATTTCCGGATAAGGTCATTATAGAAAAGGCTAAATTTAGCTGCTTTTGCAGCAGCTCTTGGATGAAGTAGCCACTTAGTTTCATTTTGAATTAGAGCTCTTCCTAAATAGTCAGCAAATTATTTGCATTTTCTCAGAATTCCAAATCTCCCTTTGACAAAGACGTCAGAATGCTTTTGATCTTCTGTCTCAATCAATAGTCATTCATCAGAAATAGAAGAAGAAGAAGAAGAGTTTGGATTTGATATCCTGCTTTATCACTACCCGAAGGAGTCTCAAAGAGGCTAACATTCTCCTTTCCCTTCCTCCCCCACAACAAACACTCTGTGAGGTGAGTGAGGCTGAGAGACTTCAGAGAAGTGTGACTGGCCCAAGGTCACCCAGCAGCTGCATGTGGAGGAGCGGAGACGCGAACCCGGTTCCCCAGATTACGAGTCTATCGCTCTTACCCACTACACCACACTGGCTCTCTAATATCATGAAATGCCTTTGTATATGCATACATTCAATTCACATTAAAGGCCAACCTACTTAATTCACGCTTTCTGAAAGAAGATGGAAACTGAAACACAGCCATCCTTTCAGATTCATACTTCTCTGAATTTTGCAGTGCCCTTCTCCAGCCAAGTAATATGGACAAAAGCGTATATACTAGTGTGAAAATGTCATATAAACATGCATTACATTAGGGAAAATATGCTTTGCAAAAATGATTATATTAGGCAAAATTCCATACAAAGATGTGTGTATTAGGAGAAATTCGTACTAAATGCCGATGAATTTTCACAAGGACTTCTTTTTCAAAGCACGAACTGATGTGGAAATGCGGGGAACTGAATTCAAAAGTGGAAAAAAGGGAAAATGGAGAAACCGTCATTGACATATTCACCCATCTCTAAGCTGATTGAGCTGCAGGCTCACCCTGCGTGCTGACTGGAAAGGAGCACTGAGCAAAGCCTGGTGCTTTTTGACTGTATGTTGTGAGCTAGGGGTGAAATGAAGCAGTTTTTCATAGCTATTGCTGGAAAAGTATGGGAGCTGGAGAAGCTGTTAACACTGTTCAGTTTTCCAAGCCAAACATCTTGGCAACACTACAACACTGACCAAGGTGCTCCTTGGCTAGGGCACTATTTATCCTCAGGCTCACCCAGATCTGAATGTATCACTGGTTTTTGTCCTCATATATTAATATAGTTTCTCAAATCTTCCCCGGATAAGAAAATGCTTACAAAAGTAAAAGTGGTTATGTGATTTGTTTGCATTGGTTAGGAATATTTAGCTAATTACTGCGTTTGATGGCTATTTCACCAATCCTCGTGTTGTTAATGTACAAAATGCATTTCCCCCCCAATAAAAAGGTATGCATGAAAGAAAGAAGAGAATTAAATCTAAAGTGCAGCTCTGGAAGTAGTGTGTCCCATTGAGAAGACTCCCATGGAAGTGAAAGGGATGAGAGATTCCATGTGGACACATTGCTCCAGGGGTTGGAAATCAGGCAGTTGAACAACTAGATCCTTCTCTGCTAAGCCAGGCATTTGCTGGGTCCCATCATTAGGCAAGAGCCCACTTCCAGACATCAACAGGATCACTTTGCCTGGACTATCTAAGAAGATGAGGGGCAAGAGAAGAGAAATTTCAGTCTGAACATCCATAAGCTCTGTGAGGGCGATCTGGCTGCGACATCTGTCACCCCATTGATCGCCAGGGTTGATTCGGCTGATCTGGCTGGCTAGGCGGGTGTCCCCTTCCTCCCTCACCGCTCCATGTGTGTCCCTCCCGAAGCTGCACGCTCGGTGGAAGAGGACGACCATCCCAGATAGAAGGAGTGTACCGTTCTTCGGTCAAGGGTATACGATAGCTGCGCTCCCCTGCTAGAACCTC